CACGCGCGCGCCCGGAGGCCACACGCCAGCCCCGGGGAGGCAGCAGAACTCCGAGCAGAGCCCTGGGCCGCGAGGGGCGTGGGCGGGGCCAGCGCAGGGCCCGGGCTGGGGCCCGTGCAGGGCCCTCCACCGCCCGCGCGGCAGGGCCCTGAGGTTTTTTTTCACTGTAGGGCGCGTGCGCTCGCCAGACAGACAGAGACATAGAGACAGAAATCAAGAAATCACCCCCCAGGGGGATGGTCACGCCACAATCCCTTCTCCTCCATTCTCCTTTCGGGATCTTGGGCATGCACACACACGTCGGGCTGGGGCCCGTGCAGGGCCCTCCACCGCCCGCGCGGCAGGGCCCTGAGGTTTTTTTTCACTGTAGGGCGCGTGCGCTCGCCAGACAGACAGAGACATAGAGACAGAAATCAAGAAATCACCCCCCAGGGGGATGGTCACGCCACAATCCCTTCTCCTCCATTCTCCTTTCGGGATCTTGGGCATGCACACACACGTGCCCAGCGTGAGTTTTAAGCTACCAGGTCCGGGACGTGAACTGCGGTCGACTACGTGGGAGTCCAGCAACATAGCCATTACGCTAACTGCTGATTCCCAATTTTCTTATCTTTAGGTAAATGAGAATTATGTTGAGACTATTTTAAATTAGGAAGGTTTGAGAAGTTGTTGAGTGACATTTTAAAAATGTATGTACATTTCAAACTGCCACTTCTAAACATCTTTAAAAAAATTTTTTTGACAGATACTGTAGGCAAGTGCTTTGTGAAACTGTTCGAACTGCCAAACTGACCCCAGTTTCTGCTCGCCTTCAAGATATAGAAGGAAAAATTGATCAATTTATTATTCCTAGAGAGGTAAGAAACATTTGGTGTACTTCATTCATTCATTTATTCTTTTCAACTCCTGTGGTATGTATTTTAATTTTCATTGTCTAAAATTCCCAATAAATGCTGTTCGTTATTGAATCAGACAGTTATTTTAATTACAAAAACAGTTCTTGCTTTAAATTTCAATCTATATAAATTTTTTTTCTCCATAGGTACTATTTCTAACAGTTTAGTATGTCTTTTTTGTAGACCTTTTTCTGTGTATGTATGTATGTATATTACTTTATACCTGTGCATGTATGTGTTTACGTATATATTATACATACACACATTTAAATTTTTTCCTGAGGGTATGTGTGCTCACCAAAGAAAGACAGGGAGAGACAGGGAAAGTGAGAAAGCATCCTCCATGGGGCATGAAGGCACCGCAATCCCTTCTTCTCCCCTGCCTTTGAGAATTGGGCACTCACACATGCAGCTGGTGTGTTTTTGGAATCTAGTGCTTTAACAGCATGGTTGGCTATGTAAGATCCAGCTACCTTAACCACCATGCCACAGCCTGGTCTGTGTGTGTGTGTGTGAGTGTGTGTGTGCATTTAAGATTTTCTTTTTTACTGAGAGAGAAACCACACAGAATGGAGAGAAAGGAGGAGGGAGGAAGGCAGGGAA